TCAATAATATTAAAACAAATGTCAACATTTATAATCTTTTATATAAATTAATTATAAAAAAATATATTTATTATATTCTTAATATATATACTTAAAACACAAATTATAGAAACCTTTAATAAATTTCAATAATGAAACCTCAATATTTCTTGGTGAGGCAAAGGTATCATGATTAATGACCTCTACAGAGTGGGCTAGCAGTTTTTTTTTTTTTTTTCTAATTCTTGGATTACATAATAAAGGTAATTTCTCTCATTATTTAACTTATTTCATTTATATGTCACATAATTTAAAATAGTTAAGACTTTTTATTATCTAAAATAAAATTATTATTAGATTATTTAAATTGTTGTAAGTGGACAAGTACTATTGTTAATTTGTTAATTTGTTAACATGTATATGCTAGCTACTATTTATTTGATGGACTAAATAAAACATCAGATTAGCTAGGTTGAAAATTAAAAAAAAAAAAATCATATGCATGACATTAAGAATATTTTGATATTTGTAAGTTTGAGTTAGATTTTGTTTCAATTATTAGTGGTTTTATGTTAAACTACACAAAAGTAGTCTTTGAATGAGGACACTTTTGAACGTAGAGGCTTCCCTTCCAATCCAAATTCCAACTAAAAAACGATTTTTTTTAAAGATATATTTAATTTGAAAAAAATAAATATGAGGAAAGGAAAATGATAAATTTTTTAATTAATTAAATTATAATATTTAAAAATATTATAATTTAAGTATATTTAAACCCATTCTTCTCCTTTCTTTTTTTAAATTTTCTTTAAACTAAATATATTATAAACATATTTTTACTTATCTTTAGAAAAAGAGAAAAAAAAGGGGGGGAAAAGCAAAGGGGGTATTTGGTTGAATACAAATGCCGAGTTTTAAACGTTTTATTTTCCGTTGGCAAAAAAGGATGGAAAACGTTTGGTTCCACATGCAAAACGTAGAAAAGGACGGCGTAAATGAAGGGGAGACAGAAACCAGACCACAGGCAGTGACACAGAGAAGCTTAGCAGTAAAAGGTTTGAAAGACAGAAAATTTCTTCCGCATGCTTTTGGAAATTCTAAATCTTAAAGAAGAAGCCAAAAACAATCAAAAATCAAACTGTTTCAAACATTATATCTCCTTCAAAAAAATTCCACAAGGTAAACAGTTATGTAATAAAGAAGGGTTCACATTTGTTGCTAATTTAGTCAAAATCCCAAATTCACACAGGGTTTCCTGTCGGGTTGAAAAAATCCATTCTTTCTCTCTTTCTCCATCATCAGTCACTTTCTCTGTTTTTTTACAGAGGATGCGAAGCAAAACCCACTAACAATTAACGACCAGTTTTTGGGTATATATGAAAAGAATAGGGAAGAGAAAAATGGAGGAGTGAAAAAGGGGTTAAAAATTTTGAAAAGGGGAAAAGAAAGGTCCAAAATATGAGCTCAAAAGCCAGATAAAGAGTGGAGCTTGGGGTTGTGTGTAGTGTGTTTGTTCATAAAGCTAAGAATTTTGCAAATGTCACAAGATCCTCAGGAGATAAAGGCGGTTGAGCAGTGGAAATGGTCTGAAATGCAAGGCCTTGAGCTTGTGTCTGATCCTCCCCCTCCTTCTGATCCTTTTAAAGCCAGCCCATCATCCACACCCACAACAACTTCCACACCTTCAACACAACGCAAGAACCCCAGGGAGGGGCAAGAAGTAGGAGGTCAAGTGCATGGTAGAAGGGAAATGGAGAGCTCTTCTTCCGAACCGAAGAAAGATGGTAGCATTGGTGGGGGTAGTGGGGAGAAGCCAAGGGATGTTCCCTCAATTGGGTTTGGTGAGCTTTTCAGATTTGCAGATGGTTTGGATTATGCGTTGATGGGAATTGGTTCTGTTGGCGCATTTGTACATGGCTGCTCTTTGCCTCTCTTTCTTCGTTTCTTTGCCGATCTTGTCAACTCTTTTGGGTCTAATGCCAATAACACTGACAAGATGATGCAAGAAGTAGTCAGGGTAATTTAACTCACAACCCAATTTCTGGAATTTCAAAACAAGAAAAAATGACCTCAAAATAATGAACCCCAAATGTTTGTGATTTTGCAGTATGCATTCTACTTTCTTGTGGTGGGTGCTGCAATCTGGGCATCTTCATGGGCTGGTGAGTTCAATGGGGATAAACTCCTGTTTTGGTCTGTTGGTTTGTGTTTTTGGTTTTGTTAATGTAATTGAAATTGGGTGTGCAGAGATATCCTGTTGGATGTGGACTGGAGAGAGGCAAACAACAAAGATGAGAATCAAGTACCTAGAAGCGGCTTTGAACCAGGACATTCCGTACTTTGATACTGAGGTCAGAACATCAGATGTTGTTTTTGCTGTCAACACTGATGCAGTGATGGTTCAGGACGCCATTAGCGAGAAGGTAAGGAAGAAAAAGAGTCTTTTCCTTTGTTTCTATTTTTGATTGTATGGTTTGAGCTCTAAAAATGAACTTGGTCTTTTGCCTTCTCTTATGCAGTTGGGTAATTTCATTCACTACATGGCAACGTTTGTGTCTGGTTTTGTGGTGGGTTTCACTGCAGTGTGGCAGTTAGCTTTGGTCACACTTGCGGTGGTTCCTCTCATAGCTGTGATTGGAGCTATCCACACCACCACATTAACCAAACTCTCAGGAAAGAGTCAAGAAGCCCTATCACAAGCAGGAAACACTGTTGAACAGGTACAGTAGTACAACTCTGTATGCTTGTGTGCCTATTTCTCAAGTTTCAGTCTGTAGGATACGGAGGTCAAAAGCACTTTATGCCTACTGTCCTCTGTTTCTTCATCTGGATGTTGCTGATTATAAGCCAAATTGCAGACAGTAGTTCAAATACGGGTTGTTCTGGCATTTGTTGGAGAATCAAGAGCATTACAAGTCTACTCCTCAGCGTTGAAAGTTGCTCAGAAGCTCGGTTACAAGTCTGGATTTGCAAAGGGAATGGGACTTGGTGCAACTTATTTTGTTGTTTTCTGTTGCTATGCCCTTCTTCTTTGGTATGGTGGTTATCTTGTTAGGCATCATTACACCAATGGGGGGCTTGCTATAGCCACTATGTTTGCAGTCATGATCGGTGGACTGTAAGTATCCTTAGGTACTCTGTTATGTTGTTCTGCTCTTCCACAACCAAGTATTGTTTCTCAAAACTTCTCTTTGATTAACAGGGCTTTGGGACAGTCTGCACCAAGCATGTCAGCATTTGCAAAGGCAAAAGTTGCTGCTGCAAAAATTTTCCGTATAATTGATCACAAGCCCAGTGTCGATAGAAACAGTGAATCAGGTTTGGAATTGGAGTCTGTTACTGGACTAGTAGAGCTTAAAAATGTTAATTTCTCATACCCATCAAGACCAGATGTTAAGATCCTCAACAATTTCTCCCTAAGTGTGCCTGCTGGAAAAACCATAGCTTTGGTTGGGAGCAGTGGCTCTGGTAAAAGTACTGTGGTGTCCCTCATTGAGAGATTCTATGATCCCACCTCAGGTAAAGTGAATGCTACTAGAAATTTCGTACTTAATGCATTTGAAGTTTGTAGTTCAATTGTTTTTATGCCAGTTCTGCTGTTAAGTTCATACAGTCAATGTGGGTATGCATCCTTGTGTGGAAATTTGTTGTGACATGGGAAATCTCAGTCCAGTTAATGATTGAACTTGGTGCAGGAGAAGTGCTGCTAGATGGACATGACTTAAAGACATTGAAACTGAGATGGCTGAGGCAACAAATAGGGCTTGTGAGCCAAGAGCCTGCTCTTTTTGCTACCACCATTAAAGAAAATATACTCCTGGGTAGGCCTGATGCTGATCAAATTGAGATAGAAGAGGCTGCCAGAGTTGCCAATGCCCATTCGTTTATTGTAAAGCTCCCCGATGGCTTCGATACCCAGGTTAGCCAATCTTAGAAATTAGATACGAATATTAGTTATATGTTCAAAACCAAGCAGTGTAATCCATCTAGATTATCTGCCTTCCATTGGTTTATTGTCTGATCTACAGATTTCTCTTAATATGTGACAAACAAAGTGAAATTGTTGGTAGTCTTCTTAAACACTTGCCCATACTGAAGTACTGTCGAAATGTACTATCCTATACCAAATGGGCTGTTGACTTTTTGGTAGGGAAGGTGAAGAATTGAAATTTTGTCACTCTGAAGGGTGAAATTTAAACACTGATCTTGACTAAAGTAGTCATGTTCTGACTAGATCTTATATGCCCTATGCTTGCTCTTCCTTTTTATTAAAGATTCCATTTAGTTGGTCAACAAACAGTACCAAATATATGTTTATTATTTTTATATACAATAGATAGGCAATGTCGGGAAAATGTTAAGTAATGTATTCATTCACATAATGTAGCATGCTCCAGTCAACAATGCATGTGAAGATCAAGGAAAAGAAGAGAAAAGGGGACAAAAATTGGTTCAAGCACTATAAATATATTGCCCTATGTAAATAAAGAATTGCAAAATGTTATATTATATTTGTCAATGATGAGAACTTAATTGAAGAGTTGAAGATGACAGGTATTATATAAATTGTTAATAGTTATTGGTCTATAATTTAAATAATGTTAGTAATTTGAGGCTTTGACTAAATTTAATATTGCATTAAAAAATATTTTCTATTTTTAATTAGAGTTTGAGAGAGTTTAGATAAGGTGGATAAGAATGGTAAACTAACCTTTACTTGCTTTTCAGTGAACATTCCACCCCTTAACCCCTTTTAAAGGAAAGAATTGAATTTGCTCTAGCATGAAAAAGTTCCATGAGAAAAGAGAAAATAACTATGCTTTGTTTGACTGATACCTATGTAGATGTGAAGAGATCAAGGAAACTTCAAATCTTTAATTGCAACCTGTCATTTAAATTCCATTTTCTTTCTTATGCATTTTTTGTGGTAAAAAATTAATTGTTTAAGTTTCTCATGAAGCAAGCACAAATTTGAGTAATAAAAATATAATAATTTGAAAATGGCAGGTTGGAGAGAGGGGGGTCCAACTTTCAGGAGGGCAGAAGCAAAGAATTGCTATAGCCAGGGCAATGTTGAAGAACCCAGCAATCTTGCTGTTGGACGAGGCAACAAGTGCATTGGACTCAGAATCAGAAAAACTGGTCCAAGAGGCTCTTGACCGTTTTATGATTGGAAGGACAACCCTTGTCATTGCCCACCGCCTTTCTACCATCCGCAAGGCTGATCTAGTAGCTGTACTTCAACAGGGGAGTGTCTCTGAAATTGGAACACATGACGAGCTTATTGCCAAGGGAGAGAATGGTACCTATGCCAAGCTCATTCGCATGCAAGAGATGGCACATGAAACTGCCCTGAATAATGCCAGAAAAAGTAGTGCAAGGTAGCTTCCCCAAGAGCACAATCTGTTTTTATTTCTTGAAATGCCTTAGCACTTTCAAATTTTTATGTGAACATATATTCTTTTAAGTAACATGTTTTGGCATGCTAAAATGGGTCTTCTTCTGCAGGCCATCCAGTGCGAGGAACTCAGTAAGCTCACCAATAATTGCCAGGAATTCCTCATATGGCCGATCACCATACTCACGAAGGCTATCTGATTTCTCAACTTCTGACTTTAGTCTTTCTCTTGAGGCCTCACATGCCAATTATCGGCTTGAAAAGCTTGCCTTTAAGGAACAAGCCAGTTCTTTCTGGCGTCTTGCAAAAATGAATTCTCCTGAATGGGTTTATGCTTTAGTTGGTTCAGTAGGTTCTGTAATCTGTGGCTCTCTGAGTGCTTTCTTTGCATATGTTCTGAGTGCAGTCCTCAGTGTCTACTACAATCCGAATCATGCTTATATGATAAGAGAAATTGGAAAATACTGCTACTTGTTAATTGGACTTTCATCAGCTGCACTTCTCTTCAACACACTACAGCATTTCTTCTGGGATATTGTGGGAGAAAACCTTACAAAACGAGTGAGGGAGAAAATGCTGACTGCATTGCTGAAAAATGAAATGGCATGGTTTGATAAAGAGGAAAATGAGAGTGCTCGGATTGCATCAAGGCTGGCCCTCGATGCCAACAATGTTAGATCAGCCATTGGAGACCGGATTTCTGTGATTGTGCAGAACACAGCACTCATGCTAGTTGCTTGCACTGCTGGATTTGTTTTGCAGTGGCGTCTTGCTCTTGTCCTGATCGCAGTCTTCCCTGTAGTTGTTGCAGCAACTGTTTTACAGGTTTGCTTTTACTATCTTATCTCTTAGATGTATGTGATGACAATTATCCACTACAACTTTTTAACCTAGTATAAGTTTTAACTCCAATATATGATATAAGAAAATATGGCATCAATTTTTGAATGTATTAGTAATGCCTTTGCTGTGCTTGTTATTCACCACTGTATCAAATTATGAACATAATGTTTTGGCTATTCAACAGAAAATGTTTATGAATGGTTTCTCGGGAGACTTAGAAGCTGCTCATGCCAAAGCCACACAACTAGCTGGAGAGGCCATAGCCAATGTAAGGACTGTGGCTGCCTTCAACTCAGAGAACAAAATTGTTGGCCTTTTCTCCTCTAGCCTTCAAGCTCCATTAAAGCGCTGCTTTTGGAAGGGACAGATTGCTGGAAGTGGATATGGGATAGCTCAGTTTGCGCTTTATGCTTCCTATGCCCTAGGTCTTTGGTATGCTTCCTGGCTTGTGAAGCATGGGATATCTGATTTCTCAAGGACCATCCGAGTTTTCATGGTCCTCATGGTCTCTGCCAATGGTGCTGCAGAAACACTGACCTTAGCTCCTGACTTCATCAAGGGAGGTCGAGCCATGCAGTCAGTCTTTGATCTTCTTGACCGCAAAACAGAAATTGAACCTGATGATCCTGATGCCACTCCAGTACCTGACCGCCTTCGTGGAGAAGTTGAGTTTAAGCATGTTGACTTTTCCTACCCCTCACGCCCTGATGTCCCTATCTTCCATGATCTTTCTCTTCGTGCTCGAGCTGGGAAAACCCTTGCCCTTGTTGGTCCTAGTGGATGTGGTAAGAGCTCAGTTATTGCCCTTATACAGAGATTCTACGAGCCATCATCTGGACGTGTCTTGATTGATGGAAAGGACATTAGAAAATACAATCTTAAGTCCCTGAGAAGACACATTGCAATAGTTCCCCAGGAACCTTGCCTCTTTGCTACTACCATCTACGAAAATATTGCCTACGGTAATGAATCAGCAACTGAAACTGAGATTATTGAAGCAGCCACATTAGCCAACGCTGATAAGTTCATATCATCACTGCCTGATGGCTACAAAACATTTGTAGGGGAGAGAGGAGTTCAGCTTTCTGGAGGCCAGAAACAGAGAATTGCAATTGCTAGGGCTCTTGTTAGGAAGGCAGAGCTAATGTTGCTCGATGAGGCAACAAGTGCTCTTGATGCTGAGTCAGAGAGATCCGTCCAGGAGGCTCTAGACCGTGCCTGTTCAGGGAAAACCACCATTGTGGTGGCTCATCGGCTATCAACTATCAGAAATGCTCATGTTATTGCAGTCATTGATGATGGAAAAGTGGCAGAGCAAGGCTCACACTCTCACCTACTGAAAAATTACCCTGATGGATGCTATGCCCGCATGATACAATTACAAAGGTTTGCACATAACCAAGTAATGGGAATGGCATCAGGCTCAAGTTCCTCATCAGCAAGACCTAATGAAGAGAAAGAAACCTAGTACAGCAAAGACAAGAGGACAATAATATCCCACCATACTTATGATTTTCCTTTTCGTTTCTCTCTCTCTCTCTCTCTCTCTCTCTCTCTCTCTCTTTTTGGGTTGAGATTTAAGGTTATAATATAGTATAGTATGTGTATTATCTAAATTTTTTTTTACTATGTATTTTATCTTCCTGGATCCTTCGAAGGGAATGATAATGACAAACAGTTCCTTGAGATTGAATTAGTAACCCTTTTGCATCTTGAAACCTCTGCTTTCAGGGAAACCTAGATGGCATGGTACTGAAAATAATAGTGAGATGCTTCAAGGCATGTCCTAGACGGCATCATGATGTTGTGAAATGTACATTTAATGTCTGTCCAAATCGTGCATGTAAGAATTTCATCGCGTTCACGACACTGATAATGGAATAATGGTCCCCAAATTCATACATCAGAATCCATACTATTCACGACACTTCAGAATCATCCTATCTTGATTTGAACAGGGTGCAGTGCATATATTGATGACAGTGCCCGTGGGGAACAAAATAATTGAGTAAAAAGTTAACACGGTGCTGAAGAAAAAAACAGGGTAAAGGAAAAAGATTCAAAAAGTTGGGTGGAGCTTAATTATACAGAGACATTCAAGTTTCAAGCAGTGGACAAAGCGTGAGAGGAAAAAGATAAAAGGAACTTGGATTGGAAAAAGACAGGGAAATAATGGCGTTTTGAATGGGACAACTGGGGACCCTATCTAATCTCTTTGTTGATACAGAAATGTAAGGATTTTGGCGACCACAAATCCTGAGATGGGGTCTTTGTTTTCAGTGCTGACAGCTCTTTTTTAAGGTTGATGTTACAGACTGCAATGGATTGGCTTGCTGCATCGAAACTATTCTTCCTTGTCTAGGTTGGAAATTGGAAATGATAAAGACTAGAGATAAACAGTAAAGGACGAATAATCTAAATACATAAAGCCAGCTTCTTGACCGATTTTAGAATTGTGTTGTGTTTCGTAACTGCACTTATATAAGCGTTTAAAAAAAAATAATAAAGCCAGCTTCTTAATACAATAACACTACACCAGGGGTTTGTTGGGTATGCATTTTCTCTGAAAAAGAATCTGAGGAAGTGCACATCATTAGATGATCAGCTTAGCTTAGAATTCGAAATTTGTGGGCACAAAAAAATTGAGAAAACATGAAATTGATTATACAAAGGAAATAATGATTGTATATTTTATAATCACTTACAAATGAGAATAGGCGATTATGTCATATCGTAGACAAAAAATCCAAAAAAAAAAAAAATTATTTTTCATAAAAAAAATTGTAATGTAATCAATGAATTACCATTCTTTTGTAATAAACTATATTGTGCCTAGATTTGATTGCCAGGAAAATTTCTAAATTAAGCTAATTTTGGTACGGTTTCTTCAAATTCTTTTTCTAAAAAAAAGTGCATACCAAACAATCCCCAAATTCCTCAATAGAAAGTATACAAGCCAAGGAGGAAAAAAATCCCACCTAAAAGGAACAAAACAACAACA